TTAACATTGTCATTGTCACTTCGCGCACAATTAAACGACATTTCTTGCTTAATTGTGATGTTCACTACACTATTTTCTTTTTGTTGCAGGTCTTCGTGGGATCGTCGCCTTTTTCCTGGATTCGCTGCTGCTGCTGCTGGTGCTGCTGGTGGTGGTGGTGGTGGTTGGGGTGGTGGTGGTGGTGGTTGTTCAATTTCACCGTTGCCATCGTTATCTCCATCCGTCATCTCACTCACCGGGGTTAGTTGGCCATTGCGCTTCGTCGTTCGAATGCATATCTTCCCCTCTCGCTGCACACTGCTGTGAGCTTTGATTCCTTGGTAAAAGTCTTCGTAGTCCACCGTGGTGGCATCGCTATCGTCGATGTCGATCCACATTGCGTTCAATTCGACAATGCTCGATCGATCCGAACTCGAAACTGTCACAATTTCGTGATCGTCTTGCTCGTCGTCGCGATTTCTCCGCTGTTGTGATCTTTGCGGCTCGATTACTCGTCTCTCGTCGTCGGACGATAACAGCAATCGATCCAATATGTCTCGCCACACACGATCAGAATCGTTTATTTCTTCGTTGCCGTTCGTTCTTGTCCCACTTGTCGCAACTTCGAGATCACTAATCTCCACCGTTTCTCTCGTTCCCGATCTATCCACGCTCGCCGGTGTTGCTGGTGATCGTAGATCGAATCACGGGATCGGTGATCCCCGTCGATCGTTCGCACGATTACATTGTTCGCGCCACGAATCGTCACTATTTTCGTCACGTTCGTTCGTATCGTCGCTCTGCCGTCCGAATGGCGCTCGACTTGCGTCTCGCGCGCGGCTCGCTAACGTACTGCCGGCTCGCTCCGCCTCTTCGTCGGTTGCTCGCTCAGCGCCTTCATCCCCACCATCGTACGTTTGGTCATCCCCGTCAACGTCGTCATCGTCGATGTTCCACCACTCCTGCGGTCTTTGGTTTCGCGCCTCCATCTCGTCGTCGCCTACCGATTCGCGATTGGTGATTGCGTCTCGGTCACTTTCTTCGTAATATGACCTTTGGAACTCCTCCTCTTCGTCGTTCTCATCGTCGATGTCGTCGTCATCTTCGTCCGATGGTGTCCGATCATCATCGTAGTCATCGTATTCGTCCGAATATCCTTCATTTTCGTAATCGGACTCCCCGTCATTTTCGACTTGTCTTGGTTGATTCGCTTCAATCATTTCGTCGTCGGGATTTTCGGCATCCTCCCGCATATCTTCTTCGCCGTATAATCTTGCTTCTCGGTGTGGTTTTAATTGCCTTGCATTGAATACGCCAATTGTTTGACCGTCAAGATCTTCGATTAAATATGCATTTGGTCGTATTATTC